ATCTGTAGGTCACTTCAGTCACTGTGCTGTACAAAGCTTTTCCTTTGTATTGCATCACTTTACTTACAGTCAGTTTTCCCATGGTTGAAGGAATAAGTCTTGAAGAACTAGTCAAGGAAACCATTAGAACTAAACAATTGTTGTCATATAAAGTGATGAGTTGGTTTTTATTTTAAGTCCAGGATTTTCTTTTACCCTAATTATTACTGAATTGTAAGAACTCTGTGAGAGGTCTGAAAATAAAAAAGAAAAGGCTGGGGAAGGGGGGGCTAGTAGGCTTTGTTTTCAGTAGCTGTAGCATCTTCTGATCAATGCAGTCCTTAGGAGATCCTAGATTGGATGCTTCCTTCCCCCCTCTACATTCCACTCCTCCTACGTTCCCTTTACCACATACTCTCTCTTGTCTCACTTCCAAGAGTGGCTTGCAGTTAAATTCTGGCCCTGTTGAAGTTGATGAGAATCATGCTTTGTTGGAGCCAAGATTCAACTTAAATGGTTTCCTTACTCTGGTTCTTGTCTAGATGCCATCTTGCTACTGTCGCTTCATACATAAAGCTAATGGGGCTGACGTTGCATCTCAGACTATGTCAAAGAGCTATTGTAAATTACTGGTATCAGTTGCATGTGAATTCCAGGCAGGCATAAGAGACTTCAGCACAATGTAAACCAAGCCATAGCTGGAAGTTGTCTGAAACAAAGACTTCAAAAAATAACTGTGTTGTCCTTGGCCACCCAAACTTCTTAGAGGAGTCTGGGCTTTCGTTGTTGTTGTTGTTGTTTCCTTCCTGATGATGGGTAATTATAATTTCCAGAAATTGGACCACTGAAAAGCAAAGGTGGGCAGTCAGAATAGCTAATTTCTCTGTCCCTAAAACCTCTGATACAGTTGCCTAACAAATAAAAAGACAGATAATTGGCTTTGAAATGTAGCCACAAAAAGTGAATGAAACCAACAAACTCTCTGACAGGGAAGTGCAGAGTGGAAGCTAAAGATGTACAGAAAGCCTCTCTCTTCCACTTCATCAATTTCTAATTGGTTAATGTTTCCTCTAACCTTTCTATCAAAGCATGGGATTCTGAGTCAGATGATGGCAGGGGAGTTAGGAAGATCACTTTCTCTCAAGCCTGGCTGACTGCTTCTTTTTATTTACTTAACCAGTGTGCTGCTTTGGGATTGCTTACTATAAAACTGAAACCATTGTTGGTGTGGGCTAAGGATGGAAGAGTTGTTGCAGCGCCTTCCCTGAGTCTGGGTCAGCACACTTGTGTAAGTGTGTACTGACAAGTGGGAATAGGGAAGGGCGGAGAAATTTTTGTACAAGAAGGAACATGCCAGTAGTTCATTGTGAAAACTGTGGGTTATGGCTAATGGAAAGGGACCTCAAGTCTGTGAGACCTGCCTTGAATTTAAATGTACGGTGGTAGCTTTATAACGTGTATCAAGTGAAAGGCATTTTAGCCATGATCCAAAGTGAAATCGCAGCTGGTTTTCATCTGGGCCCTTAAGAAGTCCAGTGGACTAATAAGGATGTTTCCATTTGAGTTCAGCCTGTGGTTAAGGGCTCAGAAGAGCTGGTGGCTGGAGTGAGATGTCAGTCGTACAGCAAGGACATGCTTCCTAATGAGCTGGCAGACAGGGGAAGAATGATAGAGCAGAGGCAAGAGGAAAGATCTCTTTTCCAAGGCGATTGTTTTTCTGGTGCCAAGGACTGAAGTAGCTGTCAGTGGTATGTTCCCAACGGGGAACAGGAAGAGACTGGAAAAGCAAGAGAGTATTGGGGGGCCGGGGGGGCAGTTTGCAAAACTAAATTGAGCGTCATCCCTCTTTTCTCCTGCCACTTAGAGGAGAAAAGGATAGAGTTGTTTTACTCGCAAGAAACAGGATGTCTTTATGCACAGACGTGGTATTTGGGGAAATGCATTTGCTTTCCAACTGTGCTGTAGATCAGGGTGTAATCTTGGCAAGTGCAGCAAAGCCATCTCCAGTACGCATGAGTGGAACCAGAATCGCCTGACTAGCCCCATTCAAGGCGAGTAGATATGCATCTGCTTAAGTACCTCTTAGAATTAGTCAGTAATCTTGTTGATGAGATCTAAGAGCCTTACACCTGCACAGTACAGGACATGATATTGCTCTGGATATACCAGTATGGAAAAGTCCTTAGGCGTCTGTGTTACTTGTGAATGGGATTTAAATTAATAAAGGTCTGCGTGCATTTGAAAGTCTTACACATAGATGTGGGGTTGGGGGCTTAGTGCCAACGAATAATAAAAACTGATTTAAATGGAAAATATCATAGAACCAGAAATACCAGAAGGTGAATAAGAAGTTGTCACCTTTCATTTCACACTGTAAACACTTAACGAGTGCTGTAGTCTCAAGCTAAGAATACCCCCCAAAATGGGTAAATGCTTACGGTGTCTGTGTATCGACACTCTTCCGTGGTTGTACAGCGAGTGCTTTGACTTAACTGTATCCCAAGCTGCAGGCAAGCAGGCAGGATCGAGTGGTGAATTGATAAAGGCTACCTGAGGCTTCAAAAGCCTGTTTGGAAGTTCTTTTTGAAAGCTAAAAATCAAAGGTCCTTAGCAAGACATTTCAAAGTGTTTTAGATGAAAAACTGCCCCTGTGTCATCTTAAGCTTGATGTAGCTACTTCATTAGTCTTCAACTCTGCCTTATGTAAAATCCCCAAACTTCCTTTTGTAATTGTTGGAAAAACAAGCTGAACATAAGTACATTTTAATTCTTAACACTCAGATGTGCCAGTGCTTCACACGCTGCTTTCTAACGCATCGTTGGCAAACTGCCCTTCTACCTAAAATTCTTCTGTCGCTGGATTATGCTCACATATACAGAGCAGTGTAGCCTGGTACTTGTTTTTGTTTTTGTACTCTGTCTGCAAGGATATTTTGGCTGTTTTATGATAAACTTTCACTTGGTAGTCAAGTGCTTGCTAGCAGCAGGTCGTAAGGTAGTGTCAGTTCATTTAAGTCACAAGACCCGGACTACAAAGTGAAATACCACAGATATATACAATGTTCTGAGCTAATGTGAAATATTATTATTTCAAGCCATAATTTAGACAGTTGTAGGGCTCTAAAAGCCAGAAGACTTTTGCTGGAACTAAATGTCAAGTACAAAGTCTAAACTTTGAAATGCTCTATAGAGGCAACAGGCATCTATAGTACATATATACGGTAATTTGAGTTCACTGCTTGGAGCTCTGGTAGTCTTGAATTTTTAGTGTCAACTAACATCTGAAGAGAGAACTTCCACAGTGTTTCTCAGCCAAAACCTGTTGAGATCACTGATATGGATTGAATGCCAGAGTTGCTAGTTTTCAATTTCATGTTTACACCAGAGTCCCAGAAGGCTGCAAGCCTTTTGTGGTGCTTATGTTCAGTTTGTAGACATTGCTTTATTAGGCTATTGTAGTAGGATGTTTTCGTAAATATTCCAGCTAAAAACAAAACTAGTACCATTAATGGAGAAGCAGGGAAAACCACATTATATACCAATCTGTTGGAGCTGGAAGTAAAAACAGTTGAATCTTCTTTAATCACAAAGTGTATGATTCTTATTGGATGTCCTACCGCTGCAAGAGGGATAAGTGATTGGCAGTAACCTACTAGTCCCTTTTGATTTCAAGCTTTGTTCAGTTTGATAATGCTGCATGGGTGTTTCAGTTAATGGTTTGTAGCTCCAGGGCAGCCTTATCTTACTCTCTAAAACAGAAAATTAATAAAACCATCTGGCTGCCTCAGAGAGTCTTGTCTGCAAAGCCAGAGAGCTCTGATGTGGGAGGTAATGATACCGAAATGAAGTTTTAACTCTGACATCTCTGCTGACTTCTAGATCCCGATCGCATTATTGAGAAGGCATCCCACTCTGGCATGATCAATCCAAGCCGTCAGTGGCAGACTTTGAAACATAATGCAGGAGTTGCCCACTTTGAGTATCAAATCCGTGTGACTTGTGCAGAACATTACTATGGCTTTGGCTGCAACAAGTTTTGTCGACCAAGAGATGACTTCTTCACTCACCATACCTGTGACCAGAATGGCAACAAAACCTGCTTGGAAGGCTGGATGGGACCAGAATGCAACAAAGGTTTGTGATGAATGCTTGAACCCCAGATGATCAGTGGGCTTGGATAGGATTTGAGTGCTTCCTCCTCTCCAGGTTGCAGTTCAGTGATCAGTTTGTGCAGACAGCAGGGCTAAGGACTGATGGGACAATGAGTAACTCACTACACAGAGAACTAGGAGCAGGAGAAGACTAGTTCCTGCCTTGTTTTAAAATCTTGGAGAGGTCTGACAAGCACTGGGCACTTAGCAGATGTGTTCCTTCTCTGATTATCCACATCTTTGCCCTTGGGAAGAAAACCCAGCCCATTGACTTCAATGGGAGTTCTGCTGCTGACTTCAAAAAGGATTTCCCCTTTGGTGCAGAACTTCAAGACAAGCAGGAAGGAGAGACTTGTTTTAGAGCTGACCTGGCAAGTGTTAAAGCTTTGGTGTTTGAAAAGTCCCAGGCTGTTTGTTCTAACTGAGATGATGTTTAACACCTTTATTAGGGAATGGCAACTTCCTAAGTAATTTCAGAAGGAGAAAGCAGGATTCTGAATAGGAACAGATTATTGTCATGTCTTGCAGACTGAGTTTACCTGCAATTTGAATAGACATTCACCTTAATATCCTGTCTGTTCAGAGATATGGTTCAAAGTAAATCTGGAGTAATTAAAAGTTGCTTTGAATTGGATGTCAAGCCAGGGAGAGTGGGTCAGTTCACCTCCAAAAGGCAGAGAAATGAAACATTTAGAGTTGAAGTGGCTTGCAGCTCTCTAAGGCGAGATGGTTTCCCTTGCATAGAAACAACTCTTTGAAGAGCTCTGGGCACGATCTCTGCAAAGCTAGATGATAGATTTCCTATCACAGGAAGCCACCTACCTTGGTTTTCCTTCCAGTAGACTTGATATGAGAGACTTGTTAAAACCTTGGATTTAGTAGGATTACAGTGCTGGTTAGAGATTAAAACATTCCCACGAGTGTGAAGGTGCAGGAACAGGCAGCATGCTGATACTCTTCTTTTTTTGTTTTAACAGCTATTTGTCGTCAGGGATGTAGCCCCAAGCATGGTTCTTGCACAATTCCAGGAGAGTGCAGGTAAATGTTCCCTCTCCCTCCTTTTTCTTCCCCCCTCCTTGCCCCCCAAATAATTAAACAAGCGGTGCTAAACACAATAGGATTGGGAGGGAGGGTGTTTTTGGAGTCATGTTTTTGACGAAGGCACATTATTCATGCTGACTTGCCCAGAATAAGAGGGGGAGCAGGTTTTTAATGCACTGATAATTTTAAGAAGCTTTTGGTTTGTGAAATGGTGGCACTGGGGGGAGGGGGGGGCTATGGGATGAATTGTGTGAATGCTGCCTAATGAGCACTAACTAATTGTTTCTGCATAAATAGCGCAAATGCTTTGTGGGTATGTTTTTTGTTTTGGTTTTTTTTTCAACAGCCTGATTAATAGGCTTTTTCAACTAGAAGCCTGAAGTACAGTGTGGCTTTTCTCTCCTCTTCTCCCTTTCACTGTTTCCCCCTTCCTCCCTCCCACTCCCTGGTTTCTTCCATCAGTAGGCAAAAGTCAAGCATTCTGTAGGATGGGATTAGTTAAATCTCTCGGTTCCTTTGCCATTGTGAGCCAGGCTCTGAGTGCTGAGAGGTTAATAGCTGGGATGAAATCTTGTCAGTAGGCTCTGTTGAATGCAAAATTTTGCTCCAGTGCTTTGATGTTCATTCTGTCCTGGCAAGGAGGCAATGAAAAGCAAAGTTTATCCGTAACCCAACAATTTGGAATGCCTTAAAATATATATAGCATATATTTACAGCACAGGGAGGTTTTCTCCCTTACTGATAGAGGGTTAATAGATATTAAATGCAGACATTCTTCGTCAACAAGCTGGTTTTAAGTTGCTTCATATAACCCTTTATCATATCTGTTTACATGCAATAGGGAATTGAGGGCTCCTGAGGTTACCAAATGTTGATATTGATCCTGTGAAGGAAGGGTTAAAAGTGAAGCTTGGGTTTTCATAAATAAAACTCCAAAGTCTGAAGGAACAGGAAGTAATTTTTCCGCCTAACAGACTTTGGCTGATTGTCTATTGCTCAAAACTTTTGCATGAAGTGGACTGCTTTTCTTTCTAAATGAGCTGTAGTTTGAACAAGAATGAAATCTGGAGTGTCTGACAGGCTATATTATATAAGAAGCTAGCCTAAATAATCACAGGAGTTCATTCTTTCTCTCTGTCCTTGTAATCCATGCTTCAAAACCAAAACAAATCATCAAGGAAAGTAAGGTAGGAAGTAACTTTTCCGCAAGAGACATGGCAAAGTGAAAGTCAAGCTGCAGGATGCTGTAGCTTATGTTCAGTGATTTTAATGTTTAGCAGCACTGATAGAAGGTGGTTAACCCTCAGAATACCAAATTCAAATCTTTTTTTAATTAAAAAAAAAAAAAAAAGCCTAGCAAGTAGTAGGAAGTATCAGGGGCCAGATGGCAAGAGGAGTGTATCAGTCAAGGCTACCAGTGATTTGTGCTTCTGTCATCAGAATAAACATGCCTTGTAGGGGTTGCTGTCTCCTAGTCAGAACAACAGGCTTTGTTTCCAGATTTTTTTTTTTCTTTCCTTTCTCTTTCGAAGTCTCTTACCTCCCACTCACTGCCCAGACATGCACTAGTGCTCTTATTTACTTAAGGTGCAACTTTCCCACACTTGATTTGCATAGTCTTGAAACAATGCTGTCCTTCTGGTGCTTTCAGATAACTTCTGCTTGCCAAGTTAGACCAATATCTTTAAAGTGAACACAGAAACAAGATTTTATTTTCTTTTAAGTTTTGATGAGTCATATAGCTTGTATGTTACAAATGCAGCAGAGTTTAAAAATAACATCCCAGCAGAAACTGCTCTGGGTTCTGGTACAATACACAACTTGCAAACGTTCTTAAAATATCCTTTTTCCTTTTGGTGCAAGTCACTTTCTTCAATGCAGGCCAGCCAACAAAACCATATTTACTCATGAATCACTCTACAAGGAAAGTTAACTTCAAATTTCTCATGAGAAACTGCTGCATACATATTATTAAACCAGAATTATTGCCATGAATCTTGTTCTGAAATTGATATCTCACTTTTTTTTTTTTTTAAATGCCCATAGCTTTTATCCAGTTTTGTTTGTTACACTTTGAAGCTGATGTTTGAAGAAAGTTGTATCTTTGGTTCTAAAGCTCATGGCTTTTTTCTGTATGTGATTTCTCATGAGAAACTGCTGCATACATATTATTAAACCAGAATTATTGCCATGAATCTTGTTCTGAAATTGATATCTCACTTTTTTTTTTTTTTAAATGCCCATAGCTTTTATCCAGTTTTGTTTGTTACACTTTGAAGCTGATGTTTGAAGAAAGTTGTATCTTTGGTTCTAAAGCTCATGGCTTTTTTCTGTATGTGGGGGGTTTTTTTTTGGTTT